GCCCATTGGAACACCACAATATAATTCCGCCAACTTTCCACTCTTATCTTTAATCCACCCTTCCTTTGCTGATTTCTTCATCTCTTCATTCATTTCAAATTCCATACGATTATTTGATCCTTCTTTCATCAACAGGGTTGTGGTAGAAAAGCAATGATCTTGAAGATTCTTTCCTACTTGTGGAAGATCTTTGATGATTGGTATGTTGTGTGCCTTGAGTTCGGAAGCAGGACCGATTCCAGAAAGGAGAAGAAGTTGAGGACTATTCAATGAACCAGCTGATAGGATGACATCTTTACGGGAGTAGTATTCTCGGCCATCGATTGTTCTGATACCTCTCGTTTTCTTTCCGTCTAATAGGATTTTTGCGACGGGGGAGTTGAGGATAGTTTCAAATCTCGGACCCATTAATGGTAAATAAGATGAAGCCGTTGTTCTCAACCCATTGTGCATACAAGAAGAGCCCATACCCATTCCAATTGGATTCCCAGAGTTCACGTCAGTATTCAATGGCAGTCCGGCTTGTCTAGCTGCTATATAAACATCCGTCAACCCCTTTTCCCAAACAGGAGCGTAAGAAAGATGAAGTGGCCCCTCGGTTCCATGATCTTCTGGGTTTGGATTCACAAATTCGCGATATTGGTCTGGAACTTCATCATGGTAATGTTCGATTTTTTTGAGGCGTTCTTTAACACGCGTCCATGACCATGTATCATCATCGACCTTTTCAGCCCAGGCGTTGAAATCTTCCGCTCCCCCGATTACCCAACAGGAAAAGTTTATAGCGGTACTACCACCAATTCCTTTTCCTCGGGAATAATCAATTTGTTGACCTCCTAGATGAGAACAGGGCTCTGTCTTGTACCCCCAGTTTAAAGAGGGTTGAGTGCCAAATAGAGTAAAACGATCAGCTGGAACAAGATATTCTTGGTCATTGTTGGGACCTCCTGCTTCAATGAGGAGGACGGATGGATGAGAAGGAGCTGATGAGAGGCGTGCTGCGAGGGATAGTCCGGCCGGGCCAGCTCCCACGATTATGAAATCGTAATTATTGTGTGGTGTAGATGTCATTTTGGGGATCATTTGTTAAATTGAAATATAAGTTTTCTAGGAAGAATATGAGAAGGCCTATATGTCAAATGATTGGAAATTGAGAATCATCTACTTACGATTGATGCCAAGTCTAAAGGACAAAGAACCCGAAGATTTTGTTAATAATCAATCTTACAAAATATGCTACGCAATCGATACCTAAAGTAGAAACATCAATCCACAAAGCAACATGAATGCAAGGGGCTTACTGAACACTTACCGATTGTATATATGTTTTTGTTGGCGTAATGATCGGTAACTTTATGTTAGTATCAACGAAGTTCAATCCTCACAATCTGTGTAAGAAAGGAGCATTGTTATTCTTGACATTCAGATGAAATCCGAGTATCAAATACTTGCAAAATCACCCAGATAATAAAGGCATAATAAAGTATATGGGGGTCTACCAATAGGTATGCAAGGATATCTGAACACAAGTTCCCCTCCCCGGATCACGGAATCAACCCATTCGCCCGCTTGGCTTCTCCTCTTCTTAATGATTGGGTCATGTATTGACACTTGTGGATTAACACATGGTGGGGTAGCTTGAGAGCAATACACTAAATCAAATAATTGTAACTTTGGCGTCGACTTACTTTTGTTGGGAAAGAGTTCGGTATATTTTTGGAATGGAAGCTAGTCAGAAGGTCGTCTTTTTCGGGGAGCTAAGCTAAAGCAGGTCCAATGAAATTCGCTTTATTAGTTAGTTGATACATATGAGTGTTGATTGCGGGGTAAACAAGGGGCTGAGGATTGGAAGTGGAGATTATCAAGTCGAAGCTGAATTAAATCATACACGGTAGTTTATGCGGGATATAATCATGTGTATTATTGTGCTGAACAATAGACGTCACAGTTATTTCTTGTCGTTTTTCTGTTTTTACACATACCAACATTGGAGATTGTTGACGACTATTTGTCCCTTGTTTCTCCCATCCAAAGCCAACCTTGGAATCATATGACGAGGTTCCGGGTGAATATTCACATGATACATCAATCTAAAGCACGCATTGTATGACCTCCATATTTTGTAAATGTGCCGGAAAATTGGAATTTGTAATTTATCGCTGAATATCTTTGTAGCATTGTATAGGTAGTGCGTACACGGAGCTTCTATTGTAGAATAATCTGTGGAGTTAGCATTTCACTGAACAAGGCGAAGTACATTACACCATGGTGAATTTCCTTAGAATTGCTTCGTTTCGGCCATCAATGTACAAACTTTTCTTGGATATCTAGACATACCTCACATATCATTGGAGGTCTGGGAAGAGGAAGCCATGTATGTCCGCTACCATGTCATCGTCTTCATGCAAATTGTGCTCTCTTATGATATACCGCCTGAACCCAAGAAACAGATCTTTTATCCATCAAGACATGGCAGCATTTGCGCTCTTTCACAAGTTGTTTTTGAGAACAGAAAGATGTAAAAATCCTCGATTAGGCCTGAGTTCACACAAGATGAGCAGTTGAGTATCATATCAAAGAAGAACAAATAAGACGTCCAACTCCATCGACCATATGCGAGAGTCAAAGCATACTTATTCATAAGGTGTGCTCTCAATGATGACAGTGGGGTATATACAGCCCGGATGCGAAAGAAACAGGAAAGTGAAAAAACGTCTACAGATCACCGAGTGGCCATGAGGTCACTAACAACATCCAGTCATAACTTAGCTCAAGGAACAAATTCTCGAAGAATGGCAAGCCATTTCTACCCCGTCAATAGCTGATGACAACTTCCACAGACAGAATCAAACACTCCGGTTCCAATTTTGATTTCGTCCGTGTGACATTCATCAATCGCCTATCGACTTCGATTGACAATTCCTTATGTTCAGGAATCGGACAACAGTCTCGTGTATACCCGGCGGCCACCTACAGTGATTCCTAGATTTGAAGGGTCTCATTGGTAATCTTGTCAAACATGGATAGAAGGATTGAAAAGAGACTAGAGTTTGAAGATGTAGCGGTGAAGATGCTGTTCTAAAGATAAGCCCGTGGTCTGCAGTCATCAATAAGCCTGGCAGCTGAGAATCATTTCCTGCAGTTGAAAACAAATGTTGTATCTAGGGGATCAAAATATTCTTCATTGAAGGAGATCATAGCGAATAAGACTGGTGCCTTGTAGACGACTGGCAGTTGATACCGAGAAAGAAAACCTCGGTGTCGTATTGAAACAACTATGATGATTCCTTCTGTAATTTGGATTTAGTCCACACAAAGAGAATCCTAGAAACTCAGTCGGGGTTGAAATTGATTACTGCGCTTCAGAAACTATAGATATCAGAATGGTCAGATAAAGCAATTCCGATACAGTTGGTGCAGTCCATAGACTAGGACATGCTGATGCCTAGGAAATGGATGAGATAAGATGAGATCCAAGGCACAGATATGCCACTTTGATACAGGAACTTGTTCAAATCATGTAGCGAGATACAATTTGAGACCGCATTGTTGTTGGGGATATGAGGATTGAATGTAATAAATTTGTGATGATCGTCCCTGGATCTCACTCAGATAACCACTTGTATGACAACGAATTTGACCTGAGATAGTGTTGAGGGGAGAATGTTACATTTGATTTTGATGGAAGCACATGGCTTTAATCCACCGGAATCGAGATAAATCTATTTCGAGTGTGCTGTGTACAAGAAATGATACGAAATCCTCCCGAGAATGCTTATTTGCATCCAGAGAGGCGTGGTGTTCGTTACGGAACGGTGCGAACAATGAATCCATGGTAACGTCGACCTTAGATAATCTTCTACCCCGCTTTACCAACATCTATGATTGGGATAAATCCTTGATCCCCCTGGAGTTTCGAGAAACTTCCGCTTATGTATATTGTACATGAGCTATACGACAAAGTGTTGGAAATAGTGGCTTGTTCATGTAGTGATACAACAGTAGGTGTGCATTGAGGGGAGAGTCTTCCTCAAGATGGACATACTAACAAAAATGGCTTTTGGGCTTTTGAAGGAAGTCTCATTCAGCCGTTTTGTACTCTTGATAAGATGCCATCAGGAATTAGACTTGTGGACTAGGATCTCTAACAACCATGCCGCAACATGTGTAGAACCAGGTACGCACAAGATCTATTTGATGTATAGCTGTGGGTAGCTGCAGTGGTAGCTATAGCTGTAGCTGGTCGAGGGGACTAGGATTAGAAATCTGAACTGAAAAACTCATGCCAATTAGTACATGAATGCTTCTTATTAGCTTACGTAGATAGTTGACAGTGTGGTGCCACTTGATTATATCGGTTGAGTTTGATGTGGTTGGTAAGACAAACAGAATGTTTTCCTTCGGTGGTAGATGTATTGTATGGCTACAACATGACTGACGATAGATACATGGTTATTCTCCATTTAGACGTTCCGACCGAATGGCTAACCCTGTTTGAGACCCAAAAAATTGATTCAAAATTGATTAATATTATGCATCTGTAGGGTAACACATGATTATATGTATACTACCCACCAAAAGTCCAAAAGTCCAAACTATTATTAGAATCCTTCACATACTCGACATCCAGTCTTGGCCAGCAACCAACGAAAGACAACAAAAGTAATCACTCACCACGCGACTTTGATCAATTTGCAAATTTTCCCTGTAATTTCACCAGCTTTTGGATTCTTGGCCCCTCCTTATATGCTCTTCCTGTCATCCTGATACGACGGAATGAATCAACATGTATATTGACTTGGAGAGTTTGATGCCTAGGTACCTGGGTACTCTTGGCTGAATTTGGAGATTTATGACGAAAAGTCCCAAGTGGTTTTTAAGAATACTTCCGTGTCATTCTTATTGGCTAATCGACGAAGTATAGGTGATCACTAATATTTCAATCCAATATAGATATGATTACATTCCCGAGAGGTGAAAGGGGGAAAAAGAGGTCTAGCATCTGCAACCCAATATCAAAAAAGAGAAGTTCTAGGAAGGGAAGGTACTCGGAGACAAACCACCAACATAGTCAAGGTGTTTTAAATCGACCATCTAATCTTCTAATCTTCTAATCTTCCATTCTTCTATTCTCTTATATTTCTGTATTTCTATATTTCTGTATTCCTCCCCTTCTATCAACTTTCATCACCTCGGAAATTATGTCATCCCCACCTTATCCAACCCCTCTTTAAGAAGTTGTTCAATTTACCTTTACTGCGCCACATTAAAATACTACTGTCACTGTTCCCTCTACACCTTACCCATGAACACCTGCGATCAATACTATCTCCACCTTTGACATCCCAAAGAGAGATAGCAGCCGCGTGCGTTTTCTTGGCTAAACTTGGAAAGCAGATAGTTACGTTGTTTTTTGTTTTGCGATTTAACCCGACTTTTAATCCCAATGGATTAACCCGCAATAAACCCTATACAACTTCAGACGAAGCTTCCCCAAACTTCCCCTAGAGCTCGTTCAGATCGTCAAGAACCATTACACAAAATGGCAGTCTCAACTTCTGCACCACGATTGCACTTCGAGCCTGATAGTGTACCGTTACCTACTTCATCTGATAATGCAGAACCGGCTTCTCCTGCATTATCGTCTTCAACAGCTCTCGCACGTTTCGAATTCGAATCTGGCCGAGGAAATGAAGGAACAAAAATATTGATGGTAGAATGGGAAGATGAATCTACCGAAGGATCCATCAAAAATATGGGAGATTGGGAGGTATCATGGGAAGGGAAAAGTACCGTTCTATCCGCACGAGATGGAGCAGAAGGGAAACTGCATCGACTTTACTTTCTACTGGCTCCGGGAGCTAGCATACCAAGAATCATAAAGTTATCACAAGTGGGAGGGAAGACAATTCAAACAAACCCTTTACCTGCGATATTCCCACCCGAATTAGGATTGACTGCACGACAAGCTGGACGGAAAGGTGTATTGCATACAATTTGGGCGAAGAAAAGGATATCCGTCTTACAAAGGGAAATTGATGAGGAAATGAAAACAAATGGAGAGGGAATAGGTCTAGAAATGGCCATGCAGGAAAAGCAATGGATTGAGGAAAACTTTGGGGTTGGGCCAAGAGTTACACAGCCGGATGTACAACAAAATGCTACTCCAACTAGTCCAAAAACACCCGGTGGTGGTAGGTTATCCGAGAAGCTTAAGGGGTTGAAATTAGGAACTAGTGCCCACGACTTAAGTAATGTTTCAGGTACGTACAAAGTTGAATGTCCTTGAATGAAATGATGAGATTAACAAGTCCTAGGACCCAAATTCGAAAGTCAGCAAAACCCATTATCTCCCGAACAGGGCGATGTCGCTGTTTCGTCATTCTCCTTGTTTCATGGGGGAACTTCGCGCCATCAACCAACACGTCTTGTCGCTCAACATCCACCAAATCATTCCTCACAACATGGCATGGGTTCTCTAAACGCTCTTGCAATTGGTGATGTGTCACAAAAAACAACAGAAGAAGATCAAACAGAAGATGAATTATTTGCCATCAAAATGAGTCCAAGAAGTCCGGAGATGACAAAAAGTCCTTTTAGTTTCGCAACTAAGGATGTAGCTTTGAGTATGGCTCAAAAGAATTAGGAAGCTCGATCGCTATATCTTTCGAAGAAAGTCCAGGAATTTACTTACGATGATATGATTGATGAAACGAACGAGAGAATTGAACGAATTGATCTGACAAAGTACACACAACATTGGGAGGTTAGATTTTCAAAAGCTACGAGAACACTCGCTTTATACCCACTACTTTGGTCGTCAAAATTTTGGATTTGGATAAGGTCTTAGCGACCCATTTTAGATAGTTATTTGGATACCTATCTTTTATTCCTGAGATTAAATCACTTGAGGGCTTTTCTATTCAGGTCTGTTACCGTGTCTTAGCAAGGTTCCTACACATCTAATACACTACCGGACCGAAATACACCTCCGGACTCCGGAGTCACTTTGATTGTCCCAATCGTCTTTATAAATTCCTCGTTTGTCTTCGTATCCACAAGTGATATACATGAGCCACAATTGGTCTGTTGAACTAACCACTAAGTACTAACTAAAGTCTGTCTGACATATGTCTCCGCAAGGTTTGGCTAGAATATTTAGTTACACTCCCTTTAGCATCCCCCACGCGTGGGAATAGCCCGTCCTGCTCCTCGTGGCATCTCACGACTGTCACTAATAACAAATTGCGAAACTACTTATTGACAACTTCCAACTAAATCATTTCGGATGTGGTTTACAAATTGAATCGCCTCTCAACTACTTGGGTACTGGCATTCTTCGCTCATTAAGTCAATAACTGGCCCATGCCCACTACTTGGATAAAACGTATGTCGGGGCAACCGTTACCCGATCCAACGAATGATATTGATGTCTCGTTGCCCCTCATCCTGGTCTTATCAAGTTCAATAAGACCTGCCACTGTGACGCGACGACTTATGAGATTGAACCTTGTTTCTGATCTACATATGACCAAGGTCTCGCATCTGTTGCTCGTTTCAAACAACATCTTGGGAGTTTTTCGATAGGTATTTCAAATTTCCCTTACGATAGCTTCATGAATCGTTTTGCATTTGTTGATTAAGGTCCTTTCCAACCGCTGCATTAAAGACTAGTTGAACGGTTATTATTCTTCTATACCGTTGGGAATCGTCAAGGCATAACGCCCGGATGAATGAGAAAAGATCTGACAAAGTGTGGGTCATAAATAACCGATTTCCCTACTACGTTGCATGTCCCTGCTATATGCACGATCTCGATCACCCATTTTGAATAACTTTAAAAATTAATAACAATTCCAATTTATAAGATAAAGAGCTAGCAATTTAATTGATAAATGACAAGATATAATATTATCTAAAAATATAATAAAATATTCAGATTTTGAATTTCGATGGAACTTGTAGTGCTCGTTCTTTACTAGATTGCAATATAACCTTCTTCTTCCCCTTCGAATTATTAGTCTTTATAATATTAGAGAGCTTTATAATCTTTGTCGATGTTAGATCTATAGTAGAAGAAGCTTTGGGGAACTTTTTATCTCTTTTGATTGAGATTTTGTTGATTTTAGAATCTTTTAATCTCCTTTTTTGTATTATATACAATCTGACGATCAACCTTCCTTTATAATACTCTCTCTTTCGTTTCAATCTCCTTCTATTCTTTCTCAGCTTTCTTTTCAGCTTTTATCTAAAGCTTAGCTTCCTTCTCTTGCTTCTCTTTAAATATTTTATCTTCTTGATACACTCTAGCTTTAATAATAATAAAAGGTAATTATAAAATACACTATTCCCCTTCTCTTCAATAAGATTTAAATATTTTTGAATAAACTCTTTTTCTTTTTTCAAGCTTTAGAGTCTTTTCTAAATCTTTAGATCTATATTTCTATATAAAAGCTCAGCTTCCTAATGTAATTATAGCCTAAAAAGCTTTAAAGTAATCTTATAGATAGAAGTATAACGAAATTCTAATTTTATTCTATGTATTGCTTTTGATGTATACAGTATAGTAAAAGCATTCCTGCAAGTTTTAAATGATATAGGTGGTGTAAGAGGAGCTTCCGGAGTAATATAGTCGATTGTAAAACTCCTATTTATAGGATATATACTTGTTTTTTCGAAGGATTATAAGATATTATGCTTTATATAAATGAGCTCCCAAGTCTTTTTAAATATACCTCAAAATATGTACTTTGTTATATTAATAATCCCCTTATTATTGTATATCAAATCATTCAATAATATATTGTAATTTGTCAAAAGGGTATTGAAGGTTTCAATGTTAAGAGGTTGTAGTCGATGTATAGAATGAGAGGGGAGAATTAAGACAATAATTCTTTAATTTATTGCATTTTGAAAGGAATTCCATATTGATATGATTAGAATGACTATCGACAATAAGTAGACAATATCTTTTATTTACTTTTCGATATATAGCAGGGTCGAATACATTTATAAGCCAATATAGGCCAAAAGCATTCGATAATCACCTATTACTTGAGGTTCCAAAATAGGCTTTATCCTTCTCCCCTACATCCTGAACCCATATATCTTATAGATCCCCTGAGTCTCCTTTATAAATAAGAGTAGGAGGAAAAGCTATCTCATCAGTGTATATAGCTGCTAATAGGGTGATAAACTCTCTTAATCCATCTTGCCTAGCTTTTGTCACTCTGCTTCTATTATAGGCACTAGCACTCATTATCCTCTTTATAGTCCTCCCCATATCAATCATAAAGCCCTTCTCATCCTAATTGTATATATCTCTCGGCTGTATATTATATTTTATAATCACTTTTATTAATTAAATTAAAAAAGAATTATTATTATTATTATTATTAGTAATTTTCAACCGGGCCGTATAGGCGAGCCTCCCAGGGGGCATTACGGTTGGGCTAACTGCGGGATAATCTTAATTTACATGATCCCCCTCTCCTAAAAATGAGGTCTCAATACCCTCAGTAGCCTCCCAAGCGATAGCTAGCGCGCTTGCGCTTTGTCTCCGATCCTCTGAGCGCCTCCGTGCGCGCTTTCCGATCTTTTATATAATATTTTAATTGAAAGCTGCTTTATCCTGTAAGGGTAGCTTTTGTATGTATTCTAGTGCAATATTATCACGGTGCAAGGGATAGGTACTAGATTGGATATATGATATTCTACAAAGAGGTTGAAAGTGGTACGATGTAACTTTGCTATATAATGGCAAAGATGACTAAGCATCCATTACGCTAATATATTACGCTAGTGAACCTGTGATAGTACTTCTTTCTTTAAGATTTGCTTGTTCTAAGCAAGTTGAGAGAAAGTATATTATGCAAACCACACTTTCTTTTATCGTGATGAACGCTTTCGCTCTTCAAATTCTTTTGCAGCTTCTTGTTCAGAAATCAAAATTGCCTTAGCCTCTGGGTTTTCCAGTATCTATTTCGGTGGATCTGGTTTTTCTGGGTATAAGCGATAATAGTGAGCTATAATCTTTTTATTACTTTTAAGATTTGAGGCTGGTTATTAAATTGGGGTGTAATGTCTTTATTTGATTAAGTAATGATATCTATCCTCATTATAATTATCTAGAATATTTTCGAATATTTACTTCTAGATTGGTTCCTTTTTGCCATCTTTCCTTTTAAGGACTCTATCCCGTATAATAACAGCTTCTGTTTCGTTAATCTGGGATTGTATCGAGAACTATTTGTTATCATATATTAATAGGAATAAAGAATAATAAAAGATAGAAAAGATTTATATATTCTTTAGTAATTGAATAAATAAGATTATAAATAAACTTTAATAACTTTATAAAGTCCAATTCATTTATTATCTAATTTCTTTACTTTTTGAGAGGTTTTTATATTTTTTGTATTAACGAATATCTTCTGTTCTATATAATATCAAGGCGAGTCGATTTGGTATCGATTTACATACTCCTCATATATATCTATAGCTTATCTAGTGAGTACTTGAAGTTGATCCAGAATCCTTTCTATTCTATCCGCTGTTTATTGCTTTTAAAGAATTTATGTTTTTGAACTAATGTTATTTCTGGTGAACAGGATTTGCTTGACTCTATATTAATATTTGGGTTAAAATCGTAATTAGTAAAGAATAGAGAATATTTTGTAGTTTCCGAAACTATATTGTTAAAAACAAACTTTGCTAATAGTAGCTATTCTATTTAATTATTTTGATAGAAATTGATGAAAGCGTATAGGTATTGCTTGAAAACTGAGTTGATACGCTCTGTTTGCCTATTTGTTTGTAGGTAGAAGACTAAAGAGTGTTTTAAAGTTATTGCTAGTCTTTCCGACAACTGCGCCCAGAATCCTGATACGAACTGTATACCTCGATTTGAGATAATATTGTTTGATATATTATATAGGGTATATATCCAACTAATAAATACACTAACCAGTTTTTCTATAATCAAGGTTCTTATACTAATAAAGTAATGTATCTTTATCAATTTATATATTATTATTAGGATATGCTTATATATCGAGTTGTAGTGTTTATTCTCTGAAAGAGGTATAATATAGTCAATTAATATATCAGACCATACTCGAAATAGAACTGGAAAAGGCCTTAAGAACCCCGGTAGAGCTAACTTTGATGACTTAGTACGAGTATACAATATATATGCTTATATATATGCACCGATCTCCTGGTATATATTTGGCCACTAATAGGTTTAAAAAATGATATCGATAGTCTTGGTATATTCAGGATAATCAACCGGACCGGAAGAGTGCATTCTGTAAATAATTTGTACTTTTTGTAAAGGACTGTCATAAAAGGATTCAATTCTACCTTAGAATCTAAAACTAAAGAAGGAAGAAAAGAATAAGAAGAGAATTGTAAGGGCTTCGGACTATATACATTAATGAGTCATGTGCTAGGCTAAAGTCCTAGAAGCTAAATGACTAAGAAAGGAACCTGAAAGGGACTGAATCGTTATATTACCCCCCTATCTGAAAAAAGCTTGCCCTCGAGTGCTTATCCATTTCCTTATCTCCAACAACATTATCATACTCATTATCACTATCTTTATAGTGTTTCAGCCATTGAGGTAATGCCTTAAGCAGGCCGGGAAGGTTTTGATTGGCTAGATAATACTCTTTGAGTTTGTGAGAAGAGTATTTGAAGTTATCAGTAGCATACCAAATAAGGTTAATATCGTAATTACGCCATTGTACTCGATAGTAAATACTATTACAAATATTCTTCGAAGCTATAATTTGTTTGATTTCCCATTCTTCTTTACCAGTAATGTTGATTGAAGGGTTAGAATCGTTCACTTAACCAGGAAAAGGATCATTCGCAGCTTTTCATAGCTTTTCAGCTAGGAATGTATTGAAAATTTTTATTATATCTGGTAGCACTAGTTTGAAGAAATACCCTACCTTTTCGATAATAAGGAACTTACTGTTTATTAGAAAATCTAGCTTTCTTGAAAAGCACTCGATTTAGTAATATTGTATATCAAGCTATACAAAATCGCTTACTTTGAAATCGATAGATTATCAATATGTGTTAATCTTGAGCTGGGCTCTTTTTTGAATATCTGTAAAGTATTTTGTGGCGAGT